TAACTCTCAGTTAATCCTCTTGTGTGGAAATATAAAGAAATATCTCCCAGCATATTCTATTCTCAATAGTCACAAACATTTCAGAGCAGAAGCAGACCATGAGACATGTAAAGAAATAGGAAAAAAAACCTTGTAGATTTAAGAGGGTGATTTGGGTTTTTTGGGGGGTTTTTTGGTTGGTTTTTGGTTTTGTTTTGTTTTTTACTAAAACCACTTAAATCTTTTATGTCCTCCAGCAGTGCTCTATCCTGTCCTCCCAGGGAACATATACCTTTACCTAGACATACAGCATGTACGCACATACTATCTTCAGAACAAACCTTAACACTGCAACCTGCTGCTTTCAAGGCATTTATCCAACCATTCACGGAAACCTGTTAAATTAGACTGTGTGCTCTCCATTAAAGCCTTCTAAAATCAGACTTATGAGCCTGAGGGAGCCTCAGCTTTCATATGCAAAAATACAAAAAAGTAAAAGCCATTTCTAAACATTTCTAAAATAGTTCTTCTCCAATGTACCCTAGGACAGACAAGATGTCCCATGATGTGGAATCAACACTGCTTTTCTTGGAACTCTCTGGGATGCCCTGCATACTTCAATCCTGAAGGGAAATTAGGGGTTTGAAGAAGACCAGGTAGCCTCATCTTAATGACCATGAAAAAATGCTTTTTCAATCTGTAAGCAATGGAACAAATCCCAGATCAGGCTGCCACCAAGGCATCCATTGAACATTCTCACTTGGGCACACACACAGCATACAGCTGTGACTATGAGACTGGGATATGCCATGCTTCTGCAGGACTTTCCTCCATGTGATCTCCAATCACTGCTTAATCTCCAACTGTTGCATAGAATTGGCCTGTCTCAGTGACCAAGCCCTGCACTGAGTGATAACAAGTTGTTCTGTATGTATACAATTGCAATATTTTCATCCCGCATACAACAGCGCAGAAACTATGAAAGTCTATTTAAAACAACAGGGACAGGTTCCCAGGTGTCACATGAACCCAGGCAATCTGTAAACAAGCACTTGCAATGTTGAAGCAAAACATAACCACTATGACCGTAAGGTACAGGGACTGAAAAACTGGTTCTCTGTGGGATTTTGGGCTAAAATTCTCCAGGCTCCAAAACCTGCTTGCTTTGCTTTCAAGACTACTTTTACTCTGCAAAGCATGCAAGAGTCACCACGCAGATAACTGAAGAAGAGGGCATTTGAAAGAAGGAAGAACCAGTGTGCCTTCCCCAATGTCATCTACCAACCATTTAGTCCTTCACTTAGGAAGCGCTGACCTGCTTTTTAGACACCTCTGATTTGGAGTTCTGCATCTTGGAGGCTGCAAACACACTTCAGTTTGGTTTCCCAAGATTTTTTAAACTGGTATCTTTCAGAGAAAGGAGCTGCTTGGAAACACCCTGAACCTTTGGCAATGCAGCAGCCTGTCCAGCAGGCCCGGCAGCCCAATCCTGCATGCCCAGGTGTTGGATCAGCCTTGATACTAGGAAGTGATTTGCAAAGCAGCTTAATAGCTTGCATTTATCTTTGCCATATTTCACCACTGCTTCCCCTTTGAAGCCACTGTGCAGCCTTGGATAGTCCCTCCCTTCAGAAAGAAAGCCAGTTCTCCCTTCCGCAGCAGCACAGCAGATCCTCCACAGGCCAGCAGAGCAAGAAAGCATCCGTGACGTGCAGCTTTCTGAGAGAAGCCAAGACATGCAGGCTCTAGATTTATGGATTAGACATGCTGCCATGGCATACAAATCACTCCACGCTCAGTGCAATTCATTATCACATTGCTATGGCTGGTCACATTCTTCACAGGTGCAAATGATGCCAAAAAGGCTTTTTACTTTTCATGTGCCAAGACTTAATGATGTAGAGTCAGGACCCCTCCTGCCTCCCTAGGGAAGTGAAACCAAAGTCAGCAGTTGTTCTGTCTTTGTGGGCACACCAAGTCCTGAAGGTTTTCCAGCACCCCACGGCAGTGCTGACAGGCAGGCAACTAAGCAGACACAGGGCTGGGATCATGCCCGCTCCCAGTCCAGCCTCTCCCAGCAACTGAGCCTGTGCCTGTAGCACTGTCAGTACCTGCCCACACACACCATCAACATCCTCTAACCCAGGTAAATTCAGCTAAAAATCTGCAGGCAAAACCAGGGATTCATTCTGCCACACTAGCACGCTTCACAACAGTATTGGGAAAGCAAGGGCCTTTTATGTCCCTTGCATGTATCAGTAAAGGAAAGGGACTTCAACAACAGGCATAAACCAGCTAAAATAACAGCATAATTGACCTAAAGAAATGAGAAGGAAGGGGTGAAGGGAAGATAGTGGGTTGAGCTACTTTCTTACACATCTGCATCTTGATTCTGGGAAAAGGACACTGGGGAGGAACAAGCCAGAATACAGGCTTTCTATTCCTATGGAAAGTTTGTTCCTTGGGGCGGGGGAATAAAATACAACAGTACTTAAAAATCAGAGATTTGAAAGTGTCAGGGGGGCTCATGGAGCATCAATTTGGGCATCTCCAGAGTAGGCTGCTCAGCAGACCCGTGTCCCCCCCTTGGAGGCCCCGGTCACTGGTGATATTGTAGGGGATATTGCAGCCCCTAGGAAGAGGTGCATTGGCTACAAAGTCCAGCAAGGTCCAATCTCCAGAAGAAAAAACAAATCTGAGCTGGAACTCAATTTCCTTGAGTGCTACACTGCAACATCCAGTCAGGCTAACGCCACAGAGGGTTAGTGTTGGAGCGACATGGGGCAGAAAGAGGAAAGGGAGGAAAGAGGCCTCCCAAGGCAGAGCCACGTGTCACTTACCTCACGTCAGGCTGGCCCAGATGCATGCAGCACAGTGAACACCCTCCTCAGCCTTTGACGCCATCCCCATGCCGCACACCAGCCCTCCCTCGGCACAGCAAGGGGGATTCATATTGCACAGGGGACCCCATCTTCCCACCTCAGCCTCCACCCAAGCACCAGGCACTTATTCCACTGCAATACTTCATACATCCACCCCTGAGATGAGCTGACCCAAGGTGAAGCAACTTGAAGCAGAGAAGCCTCCTTTTCTCCTCAGGCAGCCCCCCTGAGCACCCAACCAGCTCCTTCCTCCTCACAGGTTTCCCTCAGCAGCCTCGTCCTGAAGGTGTGGGCAGACTCCAGGTGAGGGCAGTCAGGGCCAATCAGGACCGTTAGGGAGCATTTGGCAGCTGTTAGCAACCATCAGAGCCACTGGCACCATCAAGACACCACCACCTCCCAGCCATCACCGGGCGAGGGGTTCTTCTCGCGGCTGAGCTGCGTCGTGAAGATCTCGGAGGAGAACTTGAACCCCTGTGAACTGGGGTTGGGGACGGAGGGCACAGGGGCCGTTCACCCACAGCCAGCAGCGCCATCGCCCTACAGGTGTGCTTGCACCAAGAAATACCCTTCCCTTTCCAGCCCGCATCATATAAAAATAAGCAGCAACTTAGGGGAATGAGAACTCCTCCACATTTAGATTGGCCTAGTGTGGAAGCCAGTAGCTGTCAAAGTTTAACCCTATGGTGCACTCCTGCTAATGTCTCCACCTGCCTTCGGTATTTGTTCTGCTTGGCACGAAGTTTTAGTGTAAGGGGCATGACAAACTGCCAGGGAGCATGACAGAGTGCAAGATACCTAGTGTAGAATGGAAAAATAAGCCATTTACATCATCATGCATCATTATTTTATTTCAATTTTGCTTCATTCCAAAAATAATTAAGGGACATTGTAACCAGCAGTAGGCACATCAGTGGGTTTTGCAGTTTGAGTCTCTAAAGACGACCTGATCTCTTGTGCCAAGTGCCATACAAACACGGTCAGAAAGAACCTCTGGTCTCAATAACTCTTGGCTTCAGGGTGAATTTCTCATAAACATTCAGGGCCCCAGTCTGACTCCGTACATGTTGAAGTCAGTATTAAAACTGACTTCAGTCAGTTTAATTAGATTCAGTAGATTAAAAGGAATGAAGATAGGATAAATGGGTAGGCTTCTCAACATTCTCTCCCTCCCCCAGAAGAACATTGGAAAAGATGCATCAAGCAAGAAGATGCCCCTTCTAAAAGGGAAGAATCCTTTCCCTTTTACTGATGGGAAACTGAGGCAGGAGAAGACTAAGTCACTTGTCCAAAGTTACTTAGGCAATCGGTGGTAGCACCAAGGAAACTGTACTTCTTCATTGTCCTAGTCCAGTACCTTAACTGTTCACTGTCCACCTCTGACCTCACCTGACCCAATGCAATCAGAAGCATCGTGGAAAGTATGGCTGAAATACTCTAGCATAGGAGGGATCGAGCACCGTAGCCCCTATGAGCTTATGAGCAGTATAAGTCAGTTCTGGTTGCTGTAGTTTATGATTTCCTTAGTCTACCAAACCAGAACCACTCCCAGCTCAGCAAAGCAATCAAGGTCATGCTAAAGAGTTTAAAGCATTAAAAAACACAAGATCAGGTCTTTGGAAATACAGCAAGTGTCTGATCAGTTCAAGTCCTGCTTCGGACTGCAGTCAGGATCAGATGCTGCACTGAATTATCCCTTCTGGATATCACAAACCACATGACCTTGGCACAGCATCACCCAAGGGGGAGGAGGGTCTTAAGTCTTGTGATGTTAATCACTGTTGTAGGGGCTTCTTGAAGAAGATACCCAGGTGTCTACATGCTGGCGTAGATCTCGGGTGGTGCTCTGGGCTTCAGTGGTCATTCTCCGAAATTTCTGCAGGTAGACAATGATGAAGATAACCAAGATAGCCTGGAGGAAAAGGAGGATGAAGAGACAGAGCTGAGAGATGAGAGCCAGGCTGCAGTACCAGTACTGGCATGTGGAGATGATCTCATCTTCTGTCAGATAGGCAATGATCCGGTCCTGCAGGTGAGCTGGGGAGGTGCATCTCACATCCCTGTATAAGGTCCGGTTCTGCTGCCACTGGAGCCAGGAGCGCAAGTAGAGGATGTCACAGTTGCATTCCCAAGGGTTGCCCTGCAGGTAGACTACCCGGAGGCTCTCTAGGTTGTCAAAGAGTCCATTGGGAATAGAGGTGAGCCTGTTGTAACCAAGGTGGATAATTTCAGCCGAAGGGCGGAAAGCAACTGGTAGTTTTGCTACCGTTAGGCCTTTTGACGTGCAGTCGATAATGTTGGTGGCACACTTGCATGGCACAGGGCATATGGGTATCACAAGTGGAAGGAAGCCAAGGAGGGACAAGAAGAGAATTCCACTGTTCATCTTCACCTGCAAACACTCCCCTGGTGAGACTAGATGAGGTGGAGACTAGGCAAGTAGACACCACACACTCTAGGACTGACACCACAGCCCAGGTCTTTTGTTCGTTTGCTCTGAGGATGAGTTTCTAAAGTTGGGTGAATTTGGTGTCCTTCACAGGAGATGCGAGAGCTCTGAAAAGAAAAGAGTTAAAAGAGGTGTGCAAATTCTTGGTCTCCCATTACAGGAGAGGGAATGTTCCTGGTCTTCCAACCCTGGATTTGAGGAGGGATGTGAACAGATGGCTACTGGTATGCTTAGGTGCAGCCACCAAATTCATTTTCACTAGTCCTCAGAAGTGTACAAGAGCTGCTTGTATTTTCAGCATTACTGGAGGCGCATTACTAGGGTAGCCAAGAAAATTTATGTCAAGGAATCAAAAATTCGAATATGAAACTGCTCATGCCTTGTCATAGCCCTGAATTATGTCTGTAAGCAAAGCTTTGTTCATGCAAACTGCAAGAGGAGATTCAGAAATAAATTTTACTGTTATCACAAGTGAAAAATAGCCTTTCCAGTTTTGAAAAGAAGTGATAAACAGTCCTTGGCCAGCAGAGAGGGTGCTGACCACCGAGGGTGGAGGTCAGTGGAGTTTTCCCTGCTAGATGTTGCTCCAGCAGGTGAATAATCTCCTTCTGGAGCTGTGACCGTGCTGGGAGACATGGGTCAATAAGCTGTCTTTATATTGCAGTCTCATGCCACTGCTGAACACATGAGCTGCTATAACTTCTTTAGGAGAACAACTACACATACCTGCAACAAGGCAGAGCTTTTCTGTGCAATCCATCGACCAAATGAAAAAAAAAAAAAAAAAACAGAAGGTAGCTTTGTTCACTTACCAGAGTAGTTCAATCCTTGCTTTCTCGATGGCTTTACAACACAAGAGGAAGGTCTTAAGGCAGTCCAGCCAGTGCAAGAGTGTTTGCAGCTGCATAGCTGAGCTCGTGGTTAATGCCCTTGCAGCTGGCTGGCAAGATAAGGGTCAGGCTCATCCCAGGGACACCTCCCACATGAGGCCTTCCTGCAAGTTTGCTGCATGTCACCGGAAGCTGAGGCTTCATTGAGCAATTCTTCCAAGAAATGGGAGCTGACACTGCTCGCAAGAACACATTTGCTGGGAGAGATGCTGACAGTACTGACAACTGTGATTCTGGGCCCACATGCTCAGTCTAACATAAACATTGCAAAGTCTCAATTGCAAAGTAGTAATCCAAAATGCATTTCAACCTGGAAGGTGACGTTACTGGTTTGTACCATACTCCCTGAGCACTGTGGCCTTTGGTTTCCCATCTCATCAGGAAGACTATATTTGGCAGAGCAGTGACCCTGAGGTTTCCTTTGAAGCAGTGACACAAATCTATTCCTAATTAGCAGTGGAAGATCTGCTGAAAGAAATGGACTTCCAGTGACCACACTGATGTCAATAGTTGAGCCAACGAGAAAGATCCTCCAGGAACTTGCATCCTCTCATGATTGTTATATGGGTAAAATATAACTCTTGGCATTTCACTGTCTACATCAAAATAAACTAGTTAGATTCACAGGAAGGACAACAGACTGGGAAAGATAGCGTTCCAAGGAACTGCTCTTTTGATAGCCAAGTGAGTCAGCAGCTCTCGACAAGTGCAGCTTGCAGTTACCAAGAAAGACATCTTTTATTCAAAGTTGCATTACACAAATACTTGAACAGGTAAGTCCAAGGGTCAAAACTACCTTTAGGTAGAATCTTGTCTTCTCAAGGCCATCGCAGCTTCACAGACATTTTTCTGCCATCAGCCTGACTCTAGGGATTGGCTATGCTCCTTAGGATAAGGCCACCAGAATTACATTGCGAAACTGCTGCCCCATTGGGCCCAACTCTCTATTATCTTGTACTGTGCACATTGTATAGGGCAGAAATGATGAACGCCCTGAATGCGCTGATGTTAAAGAGAATTTGGGGTGTAAACAACAGCAGAATTTGGCCCTAACCAAGGGAAAATCTCTGATGCTCTAAAAAAAATAATTAAGCTTTAAATTTCTAGTAAGTTGGAGCAGATCATTCCAGTTGTTTCACTGCAGCAGGCAGGCAGAGGGGGAAAGAGATCTTAGGCTAACAAACGAACCCAGTTTTTCCTGCAGGGCCTGCTTTCCACTTGGGAGCAGCTTGACTACCACAGGGTAAGTTTGCTCAGCAACAGCCTCATCTCATGCATTTGGTGCTATGTTTATTCACAGGCAGGTGTTCAGGCCAGGTGTGGCATGGAACTGATCTAGAGCCGGACCCATCTTGGCTCTGCATGCAGCACAGACTCAGCAATGATCCTTTGGCTACTTACAAAATGGATTTCCTGGGACTGAATCCTGCCCAGCTGCCCATGGCTAATTTAGACACCGCTCCTAGGGAAGTTTAAAGATAGAAGAACTTCAGGATCATCTTGTCTAGCTTCTGACATAAACACAGGCCAGAAATCCCATGCAGGAAGCCCTGCCTGGAGCCTGCTCTGACAGAACGGGATAAAAGGAGAAACACCATCAGTTTTGCTCTCTCCTGCCCATAATGTATCACCAATGCTGCTCAAGGGGACTGAAAATTAAACAGAAAGAGGTTGGTTTTTTTGAATGTATTTATTTCACTGATCAATTCAGGTAGTAAACATTATTATTAATAATAATAATAACAATAATCATTTAATAAAATGGATATGTTGTAAAAGGTTTCATTTTTCTTCGTTCACAATGACAAAATGTTCAAACAGAAATTTACAAAAAAATACATATTATAATAACCCAACAGATGGACAGGAAACAAAGAGCCTAGGAATGGAGCAGGAGGTGAGGAAGTTGCATGGCAGGAGCAAGCCAGCATTAAAGCACAGCGTGGTTTGTGAGGAGGAGCAGGGAACGCCATTGCAGAGCACGAAGAGTGGGACCCCCTCCTTCTCTGGGGGGAGGCATGCAGGGAGGCAGCAAGGACTGCACAGGCAGGACCAGCACAGCAGCGGCACATAAGGAGTTCATGCCACAGCTCCCTCCCCAGTCAGGCACAAGGTCCAAGATGTTGTACCGACAGCCCCAGCTGCAGCCTGGGACAGCTCTGTGGAGTGGGACACCACCCCTGCAGTGACTCACTCAGCAAGGCAAAGCTTGGCAGAGGCACAGGAATGTGCCTGAGGGTGCAGGGGTCGCATAGAAGGCTGTGGAGGGTTGCGTGATGGGAGGTGTTAAATTACTTTCCTATCCATGCTTCTCACTGCCAGAGCCAAATGGCCAAGCTACATTTGTTCAGGAGTCTCTTCTCCACTTACTGCACAGCTCAATGCAGCAGTACAAAACACTCCTTTAATAAACAGATGCCACCTTCCAGGCCAGAGTCTGAATCCCTGGTGCCCCCCAAAGTCAGTCTCTAATCCCTTTCCAGGCAGCCCCCAAACTCTAGTGCTCTGGGCAGGGAACCTCCTACACAGGGACGTGATTTCAGCGGTACCACTGCCCCTCTGTAGAAGCCATCTCTGGTGCCTCACTCCTGTGCATATTTTTTTTTTTTTGTAAGTGCAATTTGAACCATCTTCGCCAGCTGGCAGCCAAAGGCTTCAGCTCTCTGTAAAGGACAGACTTGTGACTATCGACTTCATGTAGGAGTCATGTGCACTGAGCTGATGGAGACTTCCTCACCCAGAGGGACAGGGGCAGATTCACCCTCAGCAATCCTGCCTGCCTGTGACCAGAGTACCCTGTGCTCTCACCAGAACACAGCACTTCTGCCCACAGCCCAGGATAAAAGCTGTCAGCTCCTCTACGTCCGTGCTAAAGGGTAAAGGTCTCCATTATCTTCTAGGAATGAATCTGTTTGAAAGAGGAACACCTCCAGCTGGACAGGGCTCATTTGCAACAAAGCATCCTCCTCACAGACAAGACTAGCGTAAGAAAAGAGGGGACAGGTACTGCAAGGTGTTTCCTGTTATGCTAGCACAGATAAAGCTGAGAACTCAGCAGTCCTCCTGCTTCGGACAGCAGCAAACCAGCTCCAGAAAACCTGGAGGAAGCTCCTGTTTCAGGCTACTCCACTGCTCAGGTAAGCACATCACACAAAGAGAGGTTGTATTTCCTCCTCAAGCACCTCGGTCCTGCCTGTTATTGAAGACAAGCTGAACCCTTCCCTGCTCCTAGGCTGACACTGCCACTGTCACTTACGAGCCCAATACAGGGGAGAATGAAAGAAAAACAAACCACCATTGTTGGACACTGCTCTTGTCCAGCTTGCACATTTCTGCCAAGGGGCTTCCACCCTCGCTTCCTCCTTCCACACTGTGCCAGGGTCTCTCCCCTGCCCCTGCAGCCCATGTACTGGCTAAGCTGAGGCTCTGTACAGTGAGTAACTGGAACCAGCCAACCTACTCACCACCTGGAAAAGCCCTGATCAGGACTGTAAAGCCTCACGGGGGGAATCAGACAAATGCAGCGCCTAATAACAGAATTTAGGGCCTGGCTATTCCTGGCCAACACTGTGCTTCCTATCCAGGGAGATCTACTGGGGAGAGCCAGAGATGGAGGAGCAGATACAAAGGGGGAAAGGGGACAGAGGAATCGGGCCTGGCACCAGAGAAGCAGGAGGACCCAGCCCATGGCAGCACTCCCTGGAGTCGGAGGGAAGAGCCAAGTGCCTCTCCCTCCAACAACCCTGATTCCCTGTGAACGCGGCAGTGTTGCTGGTGAGGCCTGCCCTGTTCAGTAGATCACACTCCGGGGCTCTGCTCTGGCTGGACTGAAGTTAAAAATACTGCAGGAAGCAAGAACAGAACAGAAGCTGCTGCCCAAAGAGTGCTCTTATCTTTGCCCAGCAGATCCACCAGCCTTTCCAGCACTGAGACAGGAAGAGCCTTGGACCAGGGAGGGGGAGAAGGGCCAAGTCCCAGGGGAAAGGCAGGGGAGCAAGTGCCAAGTCTGCTGGGCTGTGCTCAGCCCCATGCAGTGACACTCCTGCAGCTCCCACGGTGACCCAACACCTGCCTGGACAGGCGGCTTGCAGATCTCCGGTACAAGCCTACAAAAACTGCCCCTTTCCCCAGGAGAAGCTCAGAGCCAGCAATGTGCTTGTGGGACCGCAAAGCCTGGGGGTAGGGCACAGCTCTGTATTTGGGGTTGGATTTCAGCCCTGGGGTTTCTACCCCCTCCAAAGCAGTCCCGGCCAAGCACTCTGCTGCCATGGTGCTTTTCAGAGCAGACACTGGAGACACACTGCAGCTGGATGACCAGAGCTAAACCATGAGATACCCTCACCCAGCTACTGCAGGGCCCTGGGGTTCCTCTACCAACACCTCCAGCCTGCTGTGGGAGGAAATCATGGCTGGGAAGGTGCTCACTCCCATCATCTCATCCTTGCAGGCAACAGTCAACAAATCCTCTCTGCCAGAAAGACATAACTGAAAGCAGTAGAAGCCATTTTCTTCTAACTGACCTTGAGAGACTCAGTCCCTTGCTGCTCAGTGCAAAGATACTGGAGTTTCTTGATAGGAAAAACAAAACTAACCAACTAAACAAAAAAAAAAAATCAGAAAAACCCGGGCAGGGAAATCTGGCAACCATCAGGACCGCTGAGCAGGTCAGTGCACAGAGAAACCCCTAGCCCCAGCCGACCCCAGGCTGAGGAGCCCGAGCAACGCAGGTCAAACTCACAGGAGGGTAAGGCTGCCTTTACAATGCTTGTGCTGGCCCCAGACAAGGGGAACAGGGAGGAGGGCACAGCACCTCAGTTGGGAGTAAACATTTACGTGCATTGACAGATAGTCTTCAAGTTTGTACACCAGAGAAACCAGGACTTTAAATACCAGAGCATTCCCAAACAAGAGATTAGTACATGGGAAAGGGAGATCTTTTTCTTTTCTTTTTCTCTTTTAGGATGCCTTAGAGACTTCCCAAGCTATTGTCTTTAAAAGAAAAAAAAAGAAAAAGGAAAAGAAAGAATAATTATTAAAAAAAGAAATACACATCAGTAAACTGTTAAGTGAACAGCCTCCTCCACACTCCAGCTGACTGCAAAGCCAGCATTGCCGCTAATAAATTAGAGGGTGCGGGTGCAGCTCTTGCCCATAAGTCTCTATACAATGGGAAGCCTTTTCTAAATGTCCACAGCTCTTGCCAGGCCTCAGATGGTCACTGGGGGATTCCCTCTGCCCTCCGAGTACCTGCCTCTCACTGATCCTGCATCTGCTGCTGCATCTTCTGCAGCATCTCTTGCATCCGCCGTAACTGCATGAGACAAGAGAAGAGAGAGTCAAAAAGGGATCTGTTGTGGCTGGGAGCTGGTGATCTGCACTGGAGGCAGTCTCTTGGAGCTGACAAAGGGATCCCTCAGGGAGTATTAACTCCTGCCTGAGCACAGAGGCATCTGCGTATGGGGTGGAATGGAGCCATGTTTCCCTGACAGAGAAAGCCACAGCTTTCACACCCTGTCCTCCACACCAGGAACCCATGACGGTGGGAGGCAGGAGTGGGAAGCCCAAGGACAGCCTCTATGGGGCAATCCTGGAGAAACTCCTCAGATTCCAGCTCCAACACCAAGGAGGCCCAGGCAGAAATGGGTCTCACCTCCTCATCCTTCATTTTGATCAGTTTCTCTGTCTCAGTGTCTGGTGTTGGGAGAGGCAGAATAGGAATCGGGCTTTCTATCCTGTTGTCCTGAGTCAGCTTGCTAGAGAGGTGGAGAGAGGGAAGAAACACAGTCAGTCGTGGTTCAGGCTGGCTGGCTTTGCTGTCACCACGTGATGGTGGTCACTCACGATGGCAGACCTACCAGCAACGCGGCAACATGCACCCAGCCAGGTGGAGCGGCTGTGGGGCGATCTAGCCCAGAGGTGTGGGATGCACTCAGATGCAGAATGAGACCAAAGTCTATAAAAGTTTTCAAAATAAAAGCTTGTGGGTAGCTAACAGAGAATATCCAAACCAGGCTTACACTGAGAGCAAACACAGAAAGGGCTGATGTTTCTGACCACCTTCTGTAACTGCATTGGCAAGCTTAGCAGAGACATTTATAGCCAATTTTTCTGGTCTCCTTTGGCTCATCTGTTTATGTGCCTACACATGTACACAGCATCAACACAAACTGTCAGCATCCCTAAGGCACCACATGCTCACCATGGTCCTTTTTTTCTCCAGGAAGATACAACCAGGGGAGCAGTTTAATCACTGCAAGTCTGATAACAAAGCCTGCCCTCATATTCAGGAGGTGGGAGACGTGAGACACAACAGGCACAGCACAGCAGCATTGCAATGAGAGCTGGGGGTGCACACAAGTGCAGGCAGGAGCAGAGGAAGGAGGTGACTTTTTTCCAAAAGTCAGAGGAGCTCTCCGTAGGTGAGGAGGGGGTGGCAGTGGCCAAAGATGCCTGGGCTGAAACTGTGAATTCAAGATGCCACTTGCAGGCATTTACCACTTGGAGTCACCGTTGGCTCATTATTGAGTCAATTCCAGCCCTGGAGTTTGGGATCTCTTCCCGAAACGTCTCTCTAGAGAAGGACCCTTATCCCACTGCTAGAAATGGCCACACTCTGGTTTTACGAGACTTGTTCACTGGCAAGGAGCTAGCCATGGCATGAGAAACGGTACCAAACTTAAGCTTTTCTTAAGCTAAGCAATTGCTTTTTCATCGTGCTCTTCTTTTAATAGATACATAGCCTACGTAAATAGCAGCTCTGACACTTCTCACAGATCTCTAGCATTTAACATAGTCATTTTGGGACTCTGTATTCTCACTGTTGAAAAAGACAGGCTCGTCTGCTATGCAGAAGTACTGAGATACACTGTGCGTGAACAGAATGTGCCAACCTGCACGTTTGCACACAGGCAGCACTGTTCCTTGATGAAGCACAGCCATTTCTGCTCTGCAACGTGGCAGCACAGAGCTACCCGGCCAGTTCAGGCAGGAAGTGAAGGGGATGGTTTACAACAGATGAGCCAAGACCTACTTAAACCTAAAATTTGCCACCAGTATTTCAGTCGTGGAAGGGAGAAGGAAAAAAAGTAGTTTCAAATGAGAAGCCTGTGAGTGGTCTCTCTTCTATTTTCTGATCGTTGTGACTAAAACCACAGAGAATCAAATGCAATGGGAAGACAATGCAGAGAAATCTTTGGAGATGTGTTAGGAGTCTTGCTAATTGCCTGGGCTCTGTTGTCTGAGAAACAGCAGCACCCCAAGGATCATGCTGTCATTTGGACAGAACTACAGACTGCAGAATGCCTTCCTCTTTGGCAAGGCACACAGCTATCACCCACCAGAGAGACGGTTTATCCCCATTTCATTAGGCTGGATGTATTTCACCCAGTGCTAAGAACAGCTCTTCAAAAGAGTCTCCAGGCCTACTTCCCAAGATCTGCGTGGGGAATCCTCAGACAGGAACATGAATTCTCAGAATTATCTCCACCATGGGTTCAGGCTGTGGGACACACACTTGGATTTGCTATTTTACTTCCCAGTGCCATTCCCCAGGCTGCAGCCCAGCACGTCCCCAGCAGATCCACAGCCTCCTGACCAACGAGCCATTCTGAGAGCAACCCCAGCTCTGCAGACCGTGAAACACCCCTGCCACCTCCAGCTGAAGTGGTGCGGACCCACCTGGTCATTTGCTGGATGCACTGAGCTCGGTAGTTCTCATAGTGGACATCACAAGTGACGTCCTTCAGGTCGTGCATGTGTGTCCGGATCAGCATGTTCCGCAGCTTCACAAAGTCGCAGTGTGCCTGGTTTTCCACTGCAGAAGCAACAACACGACAGTGCTTGGATGTCACACCTCACCAGCCCTCTCCAGGGAGCCCTTTCCCACCTCCCAGCACCCAGGCTGGACTAAAACTCCCCCCAGGGCCCCTTCCCCATCAGTGCCTGGGGCCCTCCTCCTGGCCCTGGCACAGGCCTCGATGATGCTCTGTGCTTCTCAACACCAAGGCCAGGCTGCTGAGGTCACTGTGTTCCCAGGACTTTTTCTGTGTAAGAGGATTAATTAAGCATGTACAGCAGAGCCCTGAAAGAGGATGCTGCTCCCAGGAACATGGGATGTCATTGTTATAACCACAGCGAGCGCAGCCAGTGCTGGAGGCAAACTGATCATCTCTTCAGAATTTAGCACTGATCGAAAGGCCCCTGTAGGCAAAATCAGCTTCTGAGGGGCAAAGCCATGAGCAGGCAATGGTCTGGAGAACTGAAAGAGCTGCTGTTACCACGGGGAGCCAGGCTCCAGGCAGCGCTGCGGGACTCTGCAGGGAAGTGTTGTGGTCAGTAGCTGTGTGCCTGCTATGGTGATCCCCATTTACCTCTCTGCAGCGCCACGGGAAGCTGGCTATGTCAAGCCCAGGGTTTCACAAAGTTGATGCCACTGCCACATGCCAGCACCCTGACAGGCACAGCCCCCTCTGGAGCCAGTCAGAGAGCAGAGCCAGCAGCTGGGCAGCCCAAGCAGCCAGAACCAGCCCACGAGTGCACACACAAGCTTTTGGGATCTAAAGCTGCAAGACCTTAAAGCAATGCACCAGCACGGGGGAGTCAGCAGCAGCAGCAAAAGCCATTCCAGGGTTATTCTGCCTACAGGCTTTATGAAATTTCTCCCTTTAGAAAGAAAGAAAGTAAGAGACAAACACATTGTGCATCAGCACAGCCTCCAGCCCAGCAACTCCAGCACATACAGGAGTGGCAGCAGAGGAGGAAGTGCAGGAGGGTTTATAATTCAATTTGGCTGAGGGCTATGGCTTCTCCCCAGAAACTAAACTGGCAATGCCCAGCCTCCCCCCTTAATAAGAAGCCATATCCTAGTGCATTAAAGCCCAGGCATTCTTTCATTCTCACTGGAGCCTCTCTTCTTCAGTCTGTCATGGCTTCAGACAGAGGCAGAGTGATTGCTACACCCCCAATAACAGACCTCCTGAGCTGGTCCCAGTTCCTCTGTCTCTACCCTACCTTGGCCCCTGCCATGTGCCAAAGGTGGCACAGTCAGTCATGGCTGTGCAGAGGTGAGCTCTCCCCTGCCATTCCTGTTGCAAGTGCCTGCCTGTCCTTCCCCCATCCCTGCCTGCCCCTCGCTCAGTACTGGCTCCCAGGCACCACGCTTACCTTCCACAATGCCCCAGGGGTAGAGCCGTCCACGGACTCGCTGGCCTTTCGCCTCCACCACAGTGTTACTGCCGATGACAGCAAAGGGAGCGCTCTCCTGGAATGAGAGGCATTGCTGAGCCCAGCTCAGCCTGGGGCTGCCCACAGATCCCTCCTCCAAGGGCCAAGCTCAGGCAGAGCAGAACAGGAGGAGGAAGGTGCTGGTAGGAAAGGCACAGGGACATCCACATGTGCCACAGCACAGGACACCACAACCCAGTTGCAGAGAAAAGGCACTGGGATCTGCAGGCAGCCTAATTCCCAGCCTGAACTTCTCAGCTGTCCTGAGGGAAGCTGTATCTCTGCAGGTGCCTGCATCCCTTCTTTGAGGGGAAATTCTACAAGGAAGCCAGAGCAGAAAGGCTGGGACACCAAGCAAGTGGGAGGCCAAGAGCTTGTCCAGGCAGGGATGTACAGGCTGTGCTCCTCTGCTCAGAAGGGAGTCAAAGTCCGTTGCACAGCCTGCACAGGAGAAACAAGGCCATACTGCGTGCACACACAGGGCTGGCTCAGCTTGGGAGAGGGTCAGGCCTGGGCTGCTGGGGCCTCCAGACAGGCCTGTATGATCATGTTGTCTCCCTCCCATGCAACTAATATGTCACAGTGGTGCCTCATCACTCACAAATGGCTCCTTGCTGATGGCATCACTCAGAAATAGGTGCTTATAAATGCTATACAACCCAGCCTTCATCTTAAACATACAGTCTGGGGTAGACCAAGGAAAGACTGACACTCCCTGGTGGGAAAGCAGAATTGCCATGTCTTCATGCCACACTTAACTTCATGGCACCAGCAAGGACATCAGCACCTTCTCCAGGCCATCTACCATGTGAGCCAATGTAGGCTGTCCCCTGGGTATCAGTAGCACGGGCCTTTGGCACACATAGGGCAGCTCTGGCTCCTTCTGGAGCAACCAACATACCCACGAGCCTGACTTCCCAGTCCCCTGCTGAGCAGGTTGCTTACCTTCAGCTCTCTGTCTTGCTGCTTGAAATCCTCATCTTCATCAGAGTCACACTCAGGAAACTGGTACACTTTAATGCCAAATTTGTCAATCTCTTCCCGGATCTGTGTCCATGAAAGACAAAAACAAAAGGATGCAACACTGAACAATACAGAAATGCTGGGTTTATTCCTTGTTTGTGCTACCATGGGTTTGCTCTAGCCTACAGATGGCGAAAGGATTCGATGTTTCTTCTAGAGCTGGCGTCTCTGCAGACACCACTTCCCTTCTCTCAGCAGAGCACTGCTGCAATTGGATTTGCAGGTACTGTGTGTGTATATATACACACACACACTATCTATCTATCCATCTATCTCCCCTCCTTCCTCAGCCCATCCCTGCCGCCACATCAGGTATACCCCTGTAGAGAAAGAGCATCTCACCCTCTCTTTTAGCTTCCGGATCTCGGAGGGGATCAGGCAGTCAGCTTTGGCAATCAGGGGCACAATGTTGACCTTCTCATGCAGAGCCTTCATGAACTCAACATCCACAGGCCTCAGCCTGCAGCAGGGACAAGGAGGGACATGGTTAGCAAGGACACACTGGGCAGCTCCCCCTCCAGCTTCTCCCACCCACCCAGCACGAAGGGGAAAGGACAGCACTGTCACAAGAACCTGGGACAGCACTGGGATAGCACTGGGACAGCCCTCAGCTAGGGCTGTATCTTCAGGAAAGCTGTCTCAGATTTTAGCTGCTGAATGTCTCACAGAAGCACAGGCTGGGTATTCACTCCCTTGCAGGCCAAATACTGCCCAGGCCACAGCCCAGGGCCTCCCTCCAGCTGCCCTGTGCTGCAGGCAGCCAACACGACCCCTCCAGCTGCTCCAGGCTAGGCCAGCACATGAGCCAGCAAGGGGCAGGGACTGAAGGCAGCTTAAAACTCCCTTTCCTACCCATCAAGTCACACTTAGCTAGATAGGAAGATACAAGTCTGTGTGGCATTATTTCTCCTGATTTCCAAAACAGGCTGCAAGGCCTGAGGGAGATCTGCTCTGCCTGATCACAGGCAGTCTGTCATGCTAGCGAGTGGGAGGGAGATGGTGTGATGCTCAGCCGAGGGAGAGCAGCCGGACGGCTCTCATTCTGTGCCAACAGCCCTGCCAATGTACAAACCACTATAGGGCAATCCTGGGGCACAAGGGTCTTCCCTCTGGATTGAGTCATACCCCAGCCCCAGAGTGGGGGCTCTCACCCATGCCCGAAGGGTGAGATGAAGTAGAGGCAGCAATGCACTCGGTTGTCCTGGATGTTCTTCCGGTTCAGGCCGCTCTCATCACGGAAATACTGTTCAAACTGCTGGTCAATGTAGTCAGTAATGGGCTTCCAGCTGGGAAGGGTAATTCAATCAAAACAAAATCATGTGTTTAACAGGACACTGTTTCCTAGGGGCCATGAGGCAGTATCACCCCCTTCACGCTGCCAGACCCCCTTTCGGTGAAGCACCCACAGAAAGCAGACGTGGCCAAGGACTAGGAGGAAGGCAGCGGTGGCCTGCTCACCACTCAGTGTTGTTAACAGCATCTCCAAAGCCTGGTGTGTCCACTATAGTCAGCTTCAGCTTGACACCCTTCTCCTCAATGTCCACCGTGTGCTTGACAATCTCCACTGTCTGGTTGATTCTCTCTTTGAAAAGGAATATGTGAGTTAAAGCCAGGCAGTAACTGGGGATCCCCACTCACACCCACGACAAGCCGGCTCCCTCCTTATCATTGAGCACAGGGAGTAGCATGGGTGTCAAAAAACCCTGATCATCCTCTAAGGAGCCTCAAGGGAGTGGTACTCTGGAGGCCAGCAGCAGGCAGGCAGACTCTGAGAAGATACACAAACCTCTGAAGTGCTTGTAGCCCAGCTGTTCTGAACATTTTGTCCAGTCAGTTGGGAAAGGGAATCCCTACTACACTCCAGCACCCAAGAACAAAAGACAAATCTCAGCATCTCAACCCAAAAGGCTAGTGCTGCTCTGCAGCCGCATCTTTCCTTCATAGGACAGAAGAGCCCTACAGCCAAACCCTTTTTGCCTGAATACTAGTGCCTCTACAGCCAGCAAAGGAGAGCAGAGCAACAAACAACAGGGCTGGGATCCAGTCAAGCCTGTAGCTGCTGCTGAAGCAAGGAACCAAAGTACTGGTCCTTAGAACAGTCTAGACCTGTGGGCACAAGAACGGTTCACCCCCCTTTGTTCCCAACTTACCCTCTGCATTGAGGAGCTTTCTGTCTTTGTAGAGGTCTGTCAGGAACAGGCTATTCACCAGCGTGGATTTGCCCAGGCCCGACTCTCCTAATTGACAGAGTGCAAAGGGGAGGAGCGAAAAGCAAGCAACATGACCCACTAATTGACTTACAAATGAAACTGAACAAGGCTTTGAATCCTGAGCCAGAGGAAGTGAGAGAGATGAGCTGTCAGAAGCTGTTTCTGGGCATTACATTTTTCCAGCAGTGGGAGGACTTTTTGCTGCAAGATGTCTCAATCCTTGTTCAAATGTGATTTCCGAGCTCCTCCACCCTCCCTCCCCTTCCCCTCCCTCGGTCCCTGGCTGACCCTGTCTTCACCACCCAGACCAGCCACTCTGTTGGAAGAGAAGCTACACTCGGTGCTTGCTCAAGCAGGCTATGAGTGGTCAGGAGGGGCCCACTCTCCCTGGGCGAACAGTGTGACTGCAACACAGGCTGGGGAGCAAAGCAAGGCCTGAAGCACAGACCAGAACAGAGCGAGGGGAGGATCCACACCCTAAGGGAGCACCTAAGGGAAGTGAAGAGAGCTGGTCCCCTCCACGCACCCACCATGTGGCCCAGACACCTCCACCCATGGGCAGTCTCACCTGCGACCATCAGGGTGAAGTCGAAACCCTTCTTCACAGATTTCCGGTGGACCTGGTTCGGCAGAGTGGCAAAGCCCACGTACTGCTTCTCGTGGTCCTGCAGGGCAGAGGCAGACAGAGCAGGTCAGGGTGTGCCTCCTGCTCAAGCCTCACACAGCAACAGGGAGTTGGACTCAAAAAGTCCCTGAGGCAGAGCCAAGGGGTGGAGGAGAGGTCAGTCCCTGCCCTGGCAGCAGTGCGGGGCAGGGCACGTACCTCCTCTAGGCTCAGGGACTTCTGCCCTTCCTGCAGGTGGGCACGGAGGGCCACCTCCTCCCAGCTGCAGCCCTGCTTGGCTGCTCTCACCAGCAGACACGGCAGTTCACGGCAGTCTTCCAGCATGGAGAGCACAAGGGAAAAGGTACATCCTGCTGTTCCCACCAGAGAGCACATCTGGGGCTGCTACCGACACATAACTTTCCTAACTCTTTGCTTCTCCTGCACAGAGGCAGGCTCCCCTCACAGCAGGGTCACCAAATGTCACCTCTCCCCAGGTCTTTCAGAGCCATTTCTGCATCTCTCCTTCCAGAGGCGCATGCGGTACATGATGGAGAGCTCTCTGTAATTAGCACCCCAGGGCTTGTGGTGTCCTGAGCCGTGTCTAGAGGAGGGCACAGTGGCTTGGCTTCTGTTTGACCTGAGACAGGATTCACAGCCACTCCTGGCTGAGTAAGAGGAAACCCTGAATAATCTCTAGTGTTATTTCTGAAGAGACAGAAGTTCAAGGAGCACAGGGAAGTGGGAAGATGTGAAAGTATTGAGAACACAGGTGAGATGTTTTTGGTGAGGGTATTACATATGGTATTACTGGAGTGTTACCTACTGCCTAACCACCCCCCAGATGCAGACCCCTATCACCAAGCGCTCTCTTACCACATAAAAGCCACAGCCACCCCACAAGCGCAGCACATGCTCTGTACAAGTGCACTAAGAGCACACAAGGAGTGACATGACCAATGGTGTGTTTCACAAGTGCACAGCATGCATCCCGCAACCAGGAGCAAACACGCAGCCTGTGCTGTGTCCCAGGGGCACACACCCTGCTTGTGCAGGGTACGTCCCGAAAGGCAAACACGGCTCGTCTATGGGATTCACAGACTGGGCTCAGCACACAGTCCGGTGCTCACAGCTCAGGCAGCTGTGGGTAACTGTGGGTCACACAGCCCGGCTGCTCCAGCCAGCCAGCCTCCATCTGAGCAACCCCGGCCCTTCACAACCCGCCCCCCCATGGCAGTGCGTTCCCCTCCCCAGGCCCCATCACAGAGGGAGGGTGGGCACAGACCCTGGCAAACACCTCCCTTCTCACATACTTTCCAAGCTAGACCCAAGGGGAAGCAGCCGTTCACAAATGCCTGAGCTAGAGACATGATAGTCTCTGCATTTCAACATCACTTAAAATAAACGTACCCCTGGGATTCACACCACAGGCAAATCCACGAAGCCAGGAGTTCCTCAAAACCAGCCCCAGCTCCCACCCAGCCACGGATGCCTTCAAGCATACAGCTGTCCTCAATCCACAGCTCTCTGGCACTGGTTCTCCAGGCACAGCAGGGAAGACCTCTGTTCTTAAGTTTAACTATCTCCATTCCTGGGGCATACACTCAAAAAACCACAAATTATGATCCAGTGTGTCGAGCTTAGGGCAATGCTGACTCTCACCTATTTCCACACTGCAAGTGGACAATGCAGCTGCCGAGCAGCCCTCTACAGCCCCTGGCCGCATGTCCACATCTGTGAGCATCCTCAGGCGTCCTCATCTGGGCAGACTGAAAAGTTGTGGTGGGGACAGACAGCAGGGAAGACAAAGAGTCTCCTCCTCCCAATTTATGGCTGCTCTGCAACTGTCCACTCAGACAGGACAGACATGGCTGATGGCCACTGTGGCCCAAGGGCTCTGTTCTTTAGCATGGTCACTGCCTTCTAGAAATTTAGGTTTGGTTTGAGTTTCAGACTTGACAGACAGACAGAGTGACTGTGGGCTACAGTCTCCCTCACCTCACCCCCTTGCTAATGTAGCTTAAGTAATGCTGCTCCACCACCCCACAGTCCAGAAAGGCAGGAAGGGACAGAGCAAATGAAATTAGAGAGAAGTGGGGAAAACTAGAGTGTGCCCAAAGCGCTCCACTGGCAGCTCTAATGGCTGAGCTAAAAGGCACTGGCATACCAAAGCAGCGGTGCGGCAAGCAGTGGCGAGACCCCAGGGTGAAAAGTGATGGCAGCTCTGATGAGCTGCATGCGGCAAAGAAACGTCTGCCTTGGGGAACACTGCGAACCGCCACCCATAAACAGTAAACACAAGGTGTGTAAAACAGGGTGATAAATGTGATAATGGCAAGATCAAGAAAACAAGAAAAAAAAGGCCACTTCCAGCCTGTGTCCCTTGGTGCCAGGGCTGCCTCCCAGCTGCTTTGCTTCCCAGTGAAAACACATCTACGAACACAACCAAAGTGCACACGTAAAAGCCCGCACCTCACAGTGCAAGGACCAGTGTTGCTCAGCGAGCAGCACAAATATACAACATCCTTGCCCTTGCATTTCTCATACAGCCAAGCTTTGGGTCGGAGCAGGAAGAGACCCGCCCTGATCTTTACCAGACTTTGGAAAGACAACGATCACCTGCTCTCTCCAGTGACTTGACATGTGAAATAGTACTAGTAACGTGCTAATAAAACCATAGCTGAAGCTCAGGGTGTGTTTCTCTTATTTTCTTTGTTTTTTAACCTAGATGACTAAGGGCTGACAATGGAGACACTGGGGAGCTGAGCTCTGGTGCAACTCCACTTACTTCAGCCAAGTGTAACTGGCTGAACCTGATCTCTCGTTTCTGTTCAGCCCAACCAAGAAAGCGTGGATTTACTGTACCTCTGGTTACCTCCCCATAGCTCAGTGGAATCAGACACTTGCAATGTCCAGCTAGTGCAGGACACTGCCGTTTACTCATGACTCATGCAGTCATTTCCATCACATTAAGGAAGGTCAGTGCTGAGCACAAGGCCAAAGAGAAGAGCTTCCCTCGCAGTGGGAGGCAGCCAGAGTTGCAAGGAGAAAAGTCCTGTTCCCAGTATGCTCCGCTCTGACCAGCATGGACGAACTGCAGAGCCCTGCCAGGAGCCAGAGCAAACGTGTCTCTAAAGGGGAAGGCAGGAGATGCAGGGGAAATTGTGGAGAGGGATCCCCTTCTAACCACCTTCTCTCAGGAACAACAACATGGTCCCTGCACCACGGCCAGCCTAGACCCACAGTTCCTCATCTCAGCTTTAAGACAACCAATGCATGCTCCCATCCCACTGCAACAGGCATGTGCCACCGTCTCTGCCAGTGTGCCAACATCAACATCGCACTTAAGGAGCCCAAGCAGTCTCCTTAGACTGGTGTCTGCCTCACTCAAAGCTCTACACCACTCACCATCTTCATTAGGACCCAACACGGACACTATCTGCAGAGCAACCATGCACGGGACGGAGAGTACCGAAGCAGGTGTAGAGGGCTGGGAGGGTTACTGAAGGAGGCAGGTGACTTTCTGGGTTGTGAAAAGCTGAAATCCATTAATTAGATGAGAGACTTGGACTGAGGGAGTTCCTGGAGGCATCACAGCCCCCTCCCACATGCTCCTGACCCTCGTGAGCCAGCTCCCATCAAGCCGACACAGGCTGGGACAGCCGGTCACCGCACCATGCTTCCCTCACCAGCCCCAGCTGTCAGGAAAGGGCCCCGGCCAGCTGAGCACTCTGGCACGAGAAGCCCCTTTCCCCACCGCCTCCTCCATGTGCTGTCTTTGTTCCCACTGGCGTCCTGCTCCCACGCACCTAGGAATGTGCCCCACACACTGCAGCGGAGGCCACCAAGAGATGTGGCTGACCTTTGGGGCCCTGTTATAAACCAAAGCTCCCCAAGCCGAGCAAAACATGTCTGTACTCTCCCTCGGCACACGCTCGCCGGTTCACCGGACATCACAGCAACACACCACGTCCTCACATCCTCCACCACGCAGCCGAGGTGGCCAAGGCTCCCTGGCAAGCAGTGCTCTCCCTGGGAGTTCAAGCAAAGGGACAAAGCACTGGTGAGTTCAAGTCCTGTTCCTGTCGGGGGTAGAGACATTCAGGATCTGTTGCATAAGAGGAGAAGCCATCCCCAGTACCAAGGTGTCCGCAGGGCTGTCTGTACCTCCAAGACAGGGTACGCAGCATGGCCTCCATTGCTCCTGCCATTACCGATTCCCTCCTCACCTCCCCCGTGGATGTGCTGTTTAAACCAATCTCGTGTGACTTCACCATGCAGCCTGGGGATAAATGGAGCCTTGCTGGGTATATTCAAAAGGGATAAAATTAAACACCATGGGACCACAGAAAATTTGATGAATAACCCCTACCCCAGGTCTGGAGCAAACCCCAGAAATGATGGAGCTTGTGTTGGGATCCTGCTACCCCTGCCTCCACTTCTTCATGGGGGGGTGGGCTCTTGGTGTTACAGCCTCCGGCGCAAGCCGTCCAGCTCCCTCCCAGGCAGCCCTTCTTCCAGCCGTTCCTCTCTAGCCAGGCACAGCTGCCACATCCACATCTGCACAAACCAGCACAGCACAGCCCCAGAGGAGAAGCAAACCCTTCACTTCCTTTCATTGCCAGAAAGCTGCATAAATTCATAATGCAAACAGCCCCCAGGGCATCTCCCGTGTACATCTGTTGCCTCAGGCCTGGGGCTGAGAATGGGAGTATCAGCAAAACACTTGCCCACCAGCATCTGCTGCAGCAGAAAGAAAACCATCCAGCAAAGCACAGCGTTAACATGATAGCACAAACCAGACTGCATTTGGGCACACACGCAGCACTAACTCCTGCCCTGAGCACCCCTAAGCACACACACGCCATTCAGAGAGGGAATCACTGCATCAAATAACCACACAAAAATATGTCGCGCATCTCCCAGCTGTCCATCACGCCCCTCGGCCCTGCTCCCGCTGGGACTGCTCCCCTCCTTTCTGTCCCCACCGTCTCTCCCTTACCAGCGTCTTTCCGCTCCTCTGCTCCTCAGAGGTCTCATCTCATGCTGCACACGTCTGCTCGGGCACCATCCTCCCCCCTCTTGTCCCTGCTGCTCCCCAGCTCGAACGGTGCTATAAATACATCCCCATACCTTCAGCTTGGCCGGGTGGCTTCGCTGTGCCTGCGTCCGGGGAGAAAGCAGCCGCTCCACTAACCGCTCCTGAATAATGATCGAATCCATAACCACGGCCGGCAGGACGGACAGCCACCACGGGCCAAGAAAAAAAAAACCCAACCCATGTGTTCCCTCCCAGCCTTCGTTAAATCCATGCGGCAGCCCCCCCGCCTACGCATGCACACACACGCAGGGCTGGCTCAGCTCGCCTCAGTGTGGCAGCCCAGCGAGGCAAGGAGGAGAGGCGAGGAGAGAAGAGGTGAGCGGGGTCCCACGGCAGCTGCCCGGGATTTCCTGCCTCCGCCTGTGCTGCGGGAGGAGCCTGCCAGCAAGGACAGGACAAAAGCCACCGCAGCCACAGGCCAGAGGCAATGTCTCTCGCTCTGCCAGTGTCCCGCGGAGGGGTTGTGCACATACCGGATGCTGTCCCAGCCATGAGTCTGACTCCTTTTGTCAGATGGGCTTATTCAGCTGGAGGCTTTCTTAAGATATCCTGACTGATGCAGCCAAGACAAAGGTTCACTGCAAGGAAACCTGCTCTTGGCAAAAACGTGCTGCTTCTGGTTGTGTGTGTGAAGGTCTAAAGGGTCTGGAAAGCTCCCAAAAAGCTGGGTCCAAACTTAACCTCCAGATCCTAGTCCTGGTTGATGTGGATCTGCCTCCACGTCGTGCAGGTCCATCTGTTGTCTAGTCTAGGCTATATTGCAGCCTCATCTCTGAATCCAATTGGAATAGCAGCTGATGTATTCTGGACCTTACAGCAACCATTTAAGCTTTGAAGACATTTCAAAATAAAGAAGTATCTGTGTGTTTGTTAAGCACAAGTACCCAGCCCAGCAACAGCCTAGCATGCACAGAAAAATCATTCACACCTCAAGTTTGGATTCTTAACCTGCGTATAAGACCTGCTTTCCAGCTTTTCTATGCAGTCATAGAAACTGAAGAGGAATTTATTTGAAACAGACAAAAGCTGATAATCTCATATAATCATGATTCCAGAAATTGGGGGGTTAATATCACAGCATGTACCATAAAGTCACACAAGATGGCAACGCTGGTGGTGCTGGAGGAAACTGCCACTTGCCACACAGGTTCCCAAGCAGCTTTCTGCTCACAAACAGGTAAGGACGCAAGCTGCTGCCTCCCTCCTGCCTCGCTCCCAGCCAGAGCTCCCACTGCTTCTCTGGGAACCACAGGTCTCTGGCAGTGGCTCCAGAGAGCACCTGATCAGCGGGGTCTGCCCTGGTCACCTCAGGCCACAACCCAGGGCCTCCACCGTGCAACCCCAAGCGTGGCTGACACCAGGTTCTGCTATAAGGTACCAAGTTACTGCAAGGTCTCCAGTGGCCTGAAATCTGGGGGCAGCTGTGAGAGTGGAAAGGTCTTAGAAACACACCACACGCTGAAAAAAAAGGAAAGAAGAAGGAAAAAGAAGAACGATATTTTACCTATGCTGCCATCCTGTAAGCTGAGGGAAGGTGACCTCAAAAGTTTCAGGCATGAGGTCCTAAAGGCTCAGAAAAATAAGTGGAGGAGAACTGGGAAACAATCCCAGAGCAGGAAAACTCCTGCCATATGGCAGCTATCATATCACATGCATAAAGCCATTTTCCAAACCACCCTGCTCTGACAGCAGCATCTTTAAATTACACCCATTGGGTTTTGCTCCCAATCATTTCTGCATGTAACAGTCAAGCGGAAGGCCTGGACTGAGATCCAGGTGTGACAAGAATTGCCACCTCTCAGAACACGTCCCTGTTTGGCGGCTCTGCCCCTGCTTTGCAGCATTGCTCCCTTCCTCAGGGAGATGATAATCCTACAACATCCTCCCAGCCCAGTGCTAGGTCGGGCCACGCTCATGACACTGTTTTTTTCTCCCAGATTCACAATACCTAATCCCTGCTTTCCTGACTGGAGGACTCCACCACCGGAGTCTGCAGGTTGTGCATGACTGAGGAGCAAGGAAGGTACCACACTGTCTGCACTGGGCATACCAAAGATCGATCCAAACTTAACTTGAGATAACACAGAGGTTTCACCAGTCTTTCCACACCATAAACCACAATAGCTGCAAGAAAACCCTCTCCAACCCCCATGAATTCTCATGGCTTGGTAAACCCTTGTCTGGGGACCACAGGCCACATGGCCACCAACCACAAGCATCTTCCATGGGTACACAGAGACATGCTGTGTCCCCACAAGCCCACTGCATCAAATCAGAGCATTTTTCTGAGCTGGGATCACAGATGAAGTCAACAATGATTTGGTTGCAACAAAACCACAGTGTTGTTCAGGGCCTCAGGAGCCGTGCTGACAGTGCAGAGAGGAACAAGGAACTACTGTCTCCTGAGCGCCTTGAGCTCTCACACATCACACTCACTCTCAGGACTGGCAGCCAGGGAGGAACTCCAGCCAGGAGGCCACGCCTGGGAACGCAGAGAGCAGATTAGGGA